ACAGCAGAAATGGCTTTTTATACCCTCAGCTTCTGTGTTTCTTGTGGTTACTCAGCTGGTTCCTGTGATTCCAGATAGGTAGCTGCTTTGTTCTTTAAGACACTGAGAGCTTCGGGTGAGCATAGGAAAACGGCTCCTGGACAATGTGATTCCTTGATGTCAGGGCTTCACTCCATGTCCAGTCTCTTGTTTTGGAAAGTCTTCTCTGGTTGGGTGGTCACTCAAGAAAAGAAATGCTTTAGTCTTTGCTTAGTAACAAATGCAAAAATATAAGCACTGCATCTTTAGCCCTGGGGCTGCCATGGACTCCTGATAGGTGAGCTTTTGGCTGCCACCACTAAAGCCAAATCACCACGAGCCTGTCTGTTTTCAGAGACCTGTTGCAATTGCTTAACCTGTGGTATCCCCGGCATATTTTCCCTGACTTCACTAATAACCAATTGAGATGAAGAAACAAATCCCTTACTTTCCAGGTGAACTAAGCAATTTGTCTTAATTACTGTCAGCCTTTAGTGAGTGACTACCATGGGGATCCTAATCATTCACACCAGTAGTAAGATATGAATTGTGAATTAGTAGTAATTTTCACAAAGACAGATACGTGTTTTTTTTTATTTTATTTTTTTAAATATATTTTATTGATTTTTTACAGAGAGGAAGGGAGAGGGATAGAGAGTTAGAAACATCGATGAGAGAGAAACATCGATCAGCTGCCTCCTGCACACCTCCTCCTGGGGATGTGCCCACAACCAAGGTACATGCCCTTGACCGGAATCGAACCTGGGACCTTTCAGTCCGCAGGCTGACGCTCTATCCACTGAGCCAAACCGGTTTCGGCCAGATACGTGTTTTTGAGTTATCTAACATGTACTTAGTTTCCCAGTTAAAATAATTTACACACACGCGTGCGCACGCGCGCACACACACACACATACACACACGCACTAAATGAATGCTTTTCCTAATTACAGTCAGTCCTTTCCCATGGCACCGTGGCTGACTGCGCTGTTGTTGGCAAGGAAGACCCTTTGAAAGGGCATGTCCCCTTAGCCCTCTGCGTATTGAGAAAAGGTGAGAGCTTTGTCCTCCCTGACTGTTTGGGCCCTGAATGATTAACTAAGGTTAATTCGCTGCTTCCCATATGACCTTCTCCCTAGGTATCAATACAACTGAGGAACAAGTGCTGGAAGAAATTGTGAAGCACGTTAGACAGAGCATTGGCCCTGTGGCTGCTTTTCGAAATGCAGTTTTTGTCAAACAATTACCCAAAACTAGATCTGGCAAAATTCCCCGGTCAGCTCTGTCTGCCCTTGTCAATGGCAAGCCTTATAAGGTAAATTATCACGGATGTTTAATGCTGAGTTTTGAAATGGTTTATCCCCATTTCTTTGGCATCAGCAAAGTTCTTAAAAATGGTTCTCAAGTATGAATTGCATCCCTAAGATACACATAATAGCACTTTTTAAAATGTTAAGTGAGAAATTGCATAGTCACTCTGTAGGAATCATGAATTTGGAGAACCACAGATTGATTAAAGTCATATGTTTTGAGAATATAAGAATCAGTGTGTGAAAATATTACTATTAGTAAATATGTTAGTTAAATCCAATCAAACTTGTGGAAATGCAATCTTTATTGAATTACATTTTCCTTCATTGTATTCATTAATGGCTGTTTGTGAGAAAGCAAGTAATTAAGGCTGGCAATAACTGTTTAACTCTTTGCATTGATACATATGCTAATTGTATTGAGTGAAAATTATTTTAGGAAACTTTAGGCTGATCCAAGCATATGAATTTTTAAAATTTTTCTGCATATTGTACATACTGAGATATACATATTTTAATAGAAGAGTAGTGCCAGTGCAAAAAAAATTTTATTTTTATAGAGGCACATAGAAAGTCTCAAGAGGAATTCTGTAGAAAGTAGCACTGAGGACCATTAGTTTTGCTAACAGGACAGTTTGTTTTATCATTCTGTAAAGCTGAGGGACATTTTAAAATATTAGGTTCAAAGTTCCCTATTTTTGAACATTTACATATATGAGTATTATAAGATAATGGGGAATCCAACATTGCATGTAATTATTTAATTATGAAATGAATGAAAGGGTTTTAAGGAAGTGCACTCATACCTCCACTTCTCTTTTCAGGTCACGCCTACGATCGAAGACCCCAGCATTTTTAGGCACATAGAAGAAGTGCTAAAGCAAGCATCATGACTTTTTTTGAGTCAGTTTACTAATTGGAGTCAAGGTTTTTGAATTATTTCACAGAAATAACTATTTACATCGAAATTACTTGCAAACTGAAATGTGAATTGTGAAGTGTGGTCTTAAAAAAATGAACTCGATTACAATTGATTAGACCCAATTAGCATTGTAACATGTTTACAATGTTACGATTACTTATAACATGACTCATTATAGGTTGCCTAGCACTTTATTTTAGAAAAACGTATCTACTGAATGATTTTTAAAAATTGTACCTCCCCCAAAAGCATTTTGATTGAAAGTGACATTAATATAGAGCCACTTCCTAAAAATAAGCATCTGCAGCTTTGACCCAAAACCTAAAATTCAAGTTGAAGTAAAAAAAAAAATGATTACAATTTTTCTTATGGAAATTTGGAAAGTTTTCTAATGTCATTGAGTTGCCCGCATGCATGGCAATCATCTAATCGGTGATTTCCTAGGTAGCTGCCTCTGTCTTGTCATTTCCTGAGGGGAGGCTGGCTTCCTGGATACAGTTCTGGGGTCAGGTCATTTGTTACTTAGTCAAGGGAATCCTGTGCCTGGCCAAGAGTCTGGAGGTCATTGAATCCTTTCTCTGTCATGGAGTGGAGGTTTTTTTGGAGCCCCTCCTCTTGTTTTGGTGCTTAGTGGACTGTACCTATTGATTCCGGCTTCTTATGGAAACAAGGAAATGATATGAAATGGGGTACACTGGCAAAAAAAAAAGTTTTTCAGGAAGAAATGTAGAAGTTTTTACATTATGTAAGAGAAACAAAAAATATCAGATTTTTATGCCAAACCTCTGATTTTTAAATGACGCACTAAAAATATTGTGCTATTCAAACACATCTTTGCATTTAAACTTGTATAAAACCATTGATATATTTTTTAAAACACTGAAAAATGAATCTTTGTTAATAAGCTTATGATAATGTTCCAATTAATCAGAGTAGACAATATGGATAATTAAATATTTGGTTTACATAGAGTTGGACATGTTATCAGTAATCAAAGAATTCATTTAAACACAAAAATCTACCATGCCCATTGAGTCTTTGATGGTACTCAAAGTATTCCTTAATCTTTCAGTCCATCAGGAACATCGTTGTGAAGAATAGCTGTCCTAATATGATAGTCTGGGTACATGAAATATATGTCAGAGATATTAGGTAAGGAGAATATTTACTTGTCTGTTGTATAAAATTGCTTACAAACTGTATAAAGACATTTTAAAAACGTGTGCTTTTTACCTGGACCATAGGCTATTCAAATAAATGACTTCTTCAAATAAATTCCTATTTGCTTAAATTGGCTTTTTGATCGTTACATCTGAAAAACTATATTCATCTAGTTGTTTTTGTTAATTATTTTAGTAGCCTCAATTAAACCAACTAGACAGACATTCAGTTTATAATTTGAAACTGTTGGGTTTCTTAAGGTGTAGCTTATATTGGGTACATTTAGTCCATTATCACATCTGTAATCTTAACAAATAATCCATTTGTTATATCTTAGCATTTAATTGTATTACCTTACTTTTTCATGTAAGATTCAGTTAATTTGAGATGGAAAATTCTTTAGCTGAAACTGTATCGTTTGCCAGGGATAATAAACTCAAGGTATATTACACAGGGGCAAGAAGTGTGTAAAGGTTACAACTTTGATCTCTTGCACATTTTCCCTGGTAATCACATCGGAAGGGAAGGTCAGCGTGCAGGCTGGAGCTGCCTTCTAGTTGAGTGAGAAGACAATGCACAAGACTGGGAAAGCAGCTTTTTCTTGTGTCTGGTTGAGGAAATATATATCTCCTTTGCAGGGTCAGAGGATGTCACGTTCATACTAATAATTATGGGGCCAGAAAGACACTCACGTCATCAGATTGCTTAAAATTTGGGGAGAAAAAGGAAATTTCTACTTTATTACTTATATCATAAAGCACTTTTACTACATAGTACCTAAAATATTCTGAATTAAATGTACCTTTAAAAATAACAATATAATGTTACTAAAAATGCAGTCATATTTAAATTTGATGAAATAAGTTCTGCATGACCTTCTTTCATATTTTCATAATTCTTTTACTGTAAGACATTGGAAAAATTAAAATATAAAGATTTTCTTTTAAAATCTATAGAAGTGTTTTTCAAGTTATTTTTCCCATGAAAATATATTGGGTATATACAATTAAGACCTGTTTTGCATTTAAAAAACAGTTTGGTTTATATAAAACTGTATTTGTAAAGGCTTAGATTATTAATTATGTGAAAATGTATAATATTGCTAGATGGTCATTAAATGAATTTTAAGTGGATTAAATGGATTTTCAAATCTGAAAGATATTATCCTATAAATTAAAGAGTGTTTTATGCTTTTGAGACACATAGATGGATCTTTTTTATCCCTATATATTTGAGTCTGTTATAAATGGTTACTATTTCTTGCTTATGATCTCTAAAGGGGAGAAACTTCTGTGATTAAATCCTGTATGAGTAGATACAAATGTAGTTTATATTGTTATAATATCATAGTTTTTATATCATATTTCATTTCTGTGAATCAGCATCCCCATGTTCAGATGAGCTTTAAAAGCTCTTTTCCATTGTTTCTGCCGAGGCAACATTTTTCAGAAAATTGTAAAATCACTCTCATAAGCAAGTTTAGTACTCCCCCTTGTGGCTGACTCACTTTTGAGGAGATTCCTTAAAAGAATGATATCCAGTAAATTGTTCAGATTTATGTGACTAGAAAACAAAGCTTAAACAGAGAATTGGAAGTATTCTTTTTATTGACAATGGAGAGGGCTTTTGTTAGCATTACTTTATGACTGAATCTGTTTAAACAAAAATAGACATCAAAACAAATGTAATGTACGTGCAAACATAGCAAATCAAATACAAAAATGAAATTACTAATGACAGGTCTTGCACTTAATAAGATCAAACAGCAGAAAATCAGCAGATAGATAAATGTATTCTTAAATAGGTTTTACTCTGAAATCTCCCATATAAACAAAGAATAAACAACAGTAACACCACCAAATAAAGCCACTGGGAAGAGATTACTCTTCTATACTTTATACACTATATATGTTAATCACTCTGTCTTTCATTTCTTTCCTCTGATAAGACTGACTTCAGGGAAGTCGAAACAAGGCCATCTCGGCTAAAAGCTTATAACATTAGACATGACTGGCTATTGTCCTGGCACACTGACAAAGGGGGAGGGTTGCGGGGTTTTGTTTTCTTCCAGTGGAAACGAGCCTGGGACTTTGCAGTGGTTGACATTCACTGAACAGTTCTTGCTGGCGGTTCAAGATATTTGAATGGACATGTGGTTCTCAGTAAAGAAAAAAAAAGTTATTGGTCCACAGGTAACAAGAGAAGATAATGTCTTTTTCTTTATAAATTTTTTTAAATAATCTTTTTGACTCTTGTAAACAGTTTGGTTTTGTCTTGTATTGAAAAGGAGATCGAGCCATCACAGTGCTATTTCTAAAGATAGAGGACATCCCTGATTGCCTTGAAAGGTCTATTTTTGGCTCCAGTTCCAGGTTAAATCATTCTTTTTTACATGATCAGAGGCAGGTTTTCAGCTTTAAGTAGTGACAGACTTTGAAGGTGAAACATGTGGAGGCATGAAACATGCTTCCAGGAAACATACCAATTTGACTGTTATAATTCAAAAACTGTAAAAATGGTGGAATGGTAAAATACAAACAGTACTTGGTATTGTCAAATGTTTGCACTTGAGACTCCATGAACCATATATTTTATTTTTTAAAAAATCATATTTATATCCATTTACATAAGACTTACACATTTAAAAAGAAATACATACACAGTAATACATAAATGCCTAGTATATTACAATAAAACATGAAAAAACAGGTGGCTCCATTTCATAAAAGCATCTGTTGTACAGAAGTTATGATGTGGATGATGTTTATTATTCAAATGACTTAAGCATTTTCTTACAACTGTAGTGAACTAATCAAACATGATATCTGACTCCCCCCAAAATCACATTTTCAGTTTAATAAACCATTACTTGTGGTTATTTCCTTAGAATTCAGTTTTCACAAAGGTGTTCACTGCTCGTCTTCTTGGATGGTAGTGCACTTTAGGTAGGGTAGACCGAAAAGACGACATCTAGAATATTCAATGGACAGCGTTAGTTTACTGAAAGGTCCCAGACTGAAAAGTCTCCCTACCCCATTACACAGGCCACCACCATGCAGCCTGCCTCCTCCTGTCCTAAGAGATAATGAACAGGATTCATCCAGGATGTAACCAACAGCTGTATGTAATGAACATTTGCTCTTCTCCAATTCTGTGCAGGCAAGCTTAACAAATAATATTTGCTCACTTTTGTGGAAAGTATGATGGGAATATTAAAAAAAAAAAGGTGTTCAAAGAAAATGTCAGCAGTCCCTTTGAAATATTTACAGCTTGCTTAATAATAAATTGGGCATAGTTGGCCTATTCCTTGGAATAGATTTGTATTCTAGCTCATTCACCAGTATTTTAGAGCTCTTTTGGAGATACGTTGGTTTAATTATGACAGTAATATAATGATAATAAATAACATTTTAAAGGATCTGCATCAGAGATGTAGCATCATGGACTTTTGCCTATCATAATATTTTTAGGAAAAGTCCACAGTTACTATTCCTGACACAAAATAAATAATAATGTTCTAAATTATTTTAATAACAAAGTGGCTAATGTTATGTCAAAATAAAAATTGGTTGTCCTAGATTAACCTATGATAAATGAGTTTTTTCCTATTGAATGGTCAAAACTAGAAAATATGAACTTGAATGCCATGCACAAAATACAGATTGCAAATAGTTAAAGAGTTATTCTACCCATCAGTCAAGAGCTAAAAAGCAAGCACTACTCAACATATTAAGTAGACATTTGTAACTTAGTGAAGTATTCATTTCTGGGAAAATTCTGTTATATATAGAAGCTATTCCAAACAGTATTTTAAAAAGCTTCTCATTTAGCCAAATTAGCCAAATTATTATATACTTTAGATCATGCCCAATTAGATGCCAAATTGCATACTGCAATTAAAATTTTAATGTTAGGGTTTTATATTCTGAAATTAAATCTTTTATCTGAAGGCTTTTTATTTTATCATCAGCAGCTTCAAATAGTGACCTAAATAAGGCAACATATCAGCTCCTAAATTAAGCCCCAATGACCAACAATAAGTTGTGTGGAGCTTTTCGTTCAAGGCGATGAATAAACGGCACAAGATGAGCTGTTCCTCTGCCTATGACTGCTTCCTCTCCCTTCTCTGTGCATACATTTTCTTCTAATGATTGCTCTGCAAGTATTTTTCTAAAATATTAATTCATTGTGAATGGTAAAGTATTTTGGTAATATACAGTTTTAGGTTAAAAAATGTTTTATGAGCACTTAAACAACTCGCTATGACATGCACTGACCACCAGGGAGCAGACAGTAGACAGGTCAACCAGTCATTATAATGTGCAGGGGGCAGATGCTCAACACAGGAGCTGCCCCCTGGTGGTCAGTGCGCTCCCATAGGGGGGGCACTGCTCAGCCAGAAGCCGGGCTCACGCTGGTGAGCACAGCGCCAGTGGCAGGAGCCTTTCCCACCTCCACAGCAGTGCTAAAGATGTCCGAATGACGGCTTAGGGCTCCTGGATTGTGAGAGGGCACAGGCCAGACTGAGGGGCCTCCTCCTCTGAGTGCATGGAACATTTATAATCTAGGAAGCCAGTTTTTCTAAGACTGCTAATGAAACTCCATTTTGGTATAGATTTGCAAGTCAGTTCCACCAACTAGTATTTCTGTAACTACACATGCGTTACACCTTATGATTACATTTCAAGGTTTTCTGTTAGTCCTGTCCACAATTCTTACCAAGTCATTTAACTCTGTCCCAATGCTTTAAGCCTGAGACACTTAAAATTCATATTTAATTTCAACAAATATAAATCACAGTGGTGAAAAACAGGATCCTAAAAGTTCAAAGTTCTCAGTCATGTTTTTATTTTTAAAATGAAATCGTCTCCAAATCATTTTCCTGTCTCTGCCACTATTTGACTCTGAAAATCACTCCCTGCGTATTTCAGCTTCCCTTATTAAAATACTCACTTAAAAGTGTATTTTTCTGTAAGCGCCAAACTCTCATCAATAAATATTGCCATGAGCGTCAATATAATATGCTACTAAACAGTAGAAGACTGGTAGCAACCCCTTGGTGTGTACTAAGATCGTGACAGGCCTCCAACAAACAAACAGACCTGGAACCACAGCAGACAGATGATGATAGAAAATCCTAGATGAAGAGTTAAGATATAGATTCCTTTCCACCCTCTAGCAATTCAAAGGGGTTATCTCACCTCTGTTCTGCTAGGCCGTACCAAAGAGTATTGTGTATATTTACTAGTCTATGTAGGTTCCATTTTTGTGGTGGTTTGGTTTTTGTCAGCCAAGGAAAACTACTCACAGCAAGTCAGTGCTGCCTCCTTTGAGTGGCTTGTCAACATGAGTATGTGCGAACAGTGGAGTTGTCTAACCTCTGCAGTCTTGAAGAGGCAACTGCAAACGGAGAAAAGGGCTTTAGAGGGACTTGGACGATTGAGTACAGAATTTCAGATGAGAAAGATTCCTTTTCCCTGCATAGAGGGAGCCTGAGCTTATCAGTAGACATTCTTTCTCTCAGATATAAGCCACTCACATTCCTTCTCGCTAGACCAAGTTACGAATGAAAATGTATTCCAACGCGATTCAACTGAGCTTTCAAGCTGTGCCTTCTCCTGAGATGAAATCTGCCACAAGAGCAGCTCCCCAGGGCACTTCGGTTTTTAAAGCAAAGATGGCTCTTAGAGGATTTAGTAGGGTGGGTGTTTTCCCTTCAGAGTACTGAAGGGGTTTTACACTAACTTTAATCATGTTAAATAACTCATAAATTTTGCTAGCATGTTCCATAATATTAACAAGTTAGAAAACATGTGAATCAAAGGTCACAGTTTATGTGGGAATGAATTTTAAAGGCCATGATAACTGTAAACTTGGGAAGAAACAGTTCCAGGTGATTGCCATAATAGAGTGGGGTTATTTTTTAATGCTTATCAAACAGAAATAACTTTGTGGCTGCATGCCTAGTTGTCTCTCCTCCGGAATGGCTATTTTCCTTTGGAAAGTAGGTAACACCATTCTAATGTCCACAGAAGGAAGTGCTCATTGGGAAATGACTGTTGGTTTCGTGTTTGTTTAATTCTCTTCTCATGGTTGTGCTTGTTTATTTACGGCCTTCTACCTCGGTCAAAGGTGAGAGTATCTGATGAGTCTGAGTTCCTAAGATGACATATAAAACTTGAAATATTCAAATATGTGGATGACAGTGGAGTTAATTTCCAATTACTACCTCTAATTAGACAAATTATTTAATTTAGGAATAGAAAAGAAACACAAATCATGCTGATGCTTATTAATCTTCCTAGATGTGAACATTTTTTCTTTTAGGATATTATAAATCATTGTTTAAATGTAAGTAAAGTGCCATGAGTTCATGCATTAGCAGTTTGCAAAAGAGTCTGGTCTGATGAAAGCAAAGCAAACTTCAAGCAGAGCAAACCAACTCAAGAAAACAATTCCGAAAAGCTATGCAAGGTCAGAGAATGATACTAGCATTTGCTAAACGAGCTTTTGACTTTAGAAGCAGAAATGCAAAACATCGGTACCGTCCGTCGCCATTCTCCTTGATTGTCCAGATGTTGTGGTTAACCGGAACCCGGCCGGCAGTGTTTCTGAAGACCCAGGCATCATACTGATTCCGTGCACTTCACGGGGAGGAAACTGCCGTCTCCAGGTTGACCCACGCCTGAAATTCTTGTCATCGCTCTGCCAGTACAGAGTTAAAACGTGGAACATTGATTATTTACATTCAGCCCATCAAGTATCCTATCTAATAAAAGCCTAATATGCTAAGTGTCTGGTCGTCTGTTCAACCAATCAAAGCGTAATATGCTAATGATATGCTAAGGCCACTCAACTGCTCGCTATGACATGCACTGACCACCAGAGAGCCGACAGTAGATAGGTCAACCAGTCATTATAATGTGCAGTGACCACCAGGGGGCAGATGCTCAACACAGGAGCTGCCCCCTGGTGGTCAGTGCGCTCCCATAGCGGGGGTACTGCTCAGCCAGAAGCCAGGCTCACGCTGGCGAGCGCAGAGCCAGTGGCAGGAGCCTTTCCCATCTCCGCAGCAGCGCTAAGGATGTCTGAATGATGGCTTAGGGCTCCCAGATTGTGAGAGGGCACAGGCTGGGCTGAGGGACCTCCTCCCCCCGAGTGCATGAATTTCATGCACCAGGCCTCTAGTACATATATAATGTTATGCTTTATTTTGATTACAAAATGAAAATGCAGGAAGTTTGAAACAAATGTTTTTGTAAAGTTTTCATGATTTCAAATCCAAGGTTTGTCATCTATAAAAGGAAACATCTTTGAAAACCTAAAATAAAATCCCAACATTTTTCCAAAAATTATACTTTGTTGCACTTTATGCAAACTGGTTTTATGGAACAATATACTTAGTGGAATAAGTATTGGCTCATATACTTGAATATCTATTTTATAAATGTTGTTTCTATATGTACAAGTTATATGTGTTATAGGAATCTATATTTGATACAGCCTGGCTCATATTGGATACTATAACCCATATTCTATGTAAGAAACTCAATTTGTCATGTTAGATTTTAGCTGATACAGAATTAATTTTTTATTTGTTGAGAAATCTGTGCAGCCTGGGCAACATCATTTTAATAAATGCATGTTCCCTTTAGATGCCACTAAAAGCATAACATAACTCTGGTTGCTGTTTTATAAATGTAATTCTAGTTGCTGATTCTATTATATATGGATGATACTATTTTTGCCCTCTCTGTGCATACATAAAGTACCTACACAGACACAATTCTTTTCTCTACATTGATTAGCACCAATATGTAATTTAGCATTTAATTAATATCATTTTTGTATCTAATTCTAAGGAAAATATTAGCCATCCTACATAGATCTTATCTTCTCATATTACTAAGTTTCTCATCTAGGGAAGGACTGTCTATTTCCTGAAGTTATAGCTAAGTATGCATGGTTGACCCACTAACTCAGGAGACTTCATTTTAACATACGGAATGATTGACATTCAGCTCAAATTATCACTGTTATAAATAAGTAACACTATAAGGGATTCTTCATCATAGATAGTGAATTTAGTTGAGTGACACACAAGATCACTTTTAATGATATATATCAACTGCTCTCTTAGAATTCTTATTATCAATAGCTAAATTCTGTTTCGATTGGGTAGACATTTTACAGTTTGAGAAATGTCTGCTACTCCTCCTCTGTCTGGTTTTACATTGACCTAGATCATCTCCAAATGTTCACTAATGCAGAAAAGAAGCAACGTTTCACAGTTGTGGCCTCTCTGACTTCTTGAGTCTTGGAGAAGTTGTTGCATCAACACAGATATTCTTCAGTTCTACGTAACACTATTTTCCATTGTAGGAATAACAACTCCTATAATGTACTAGAGGCCCATGCAGGAGATTTGTGCACGGGGAGGGTCCCTAGCAGCTGCCGGCTGCCAGCCAGGGCCTCCCTTCATTCTGCACCGCCTCCTGATGGTCAACGCACGTCATAGCGAGCGATCGAACTCCTGGTCAGTGGAACTCCCAAGGGGACACTTTGCATATTAGGCTTTTATATATACAGAGGAGTGAAGGGCTCAAAAATTAGCCATATATTTAATAATTTAAATCATGTTATGATTCTTGACTTCTGCTCTTTCCACGTAGTTTCTGCAGAAAGTTAATGGGAACAATAAAGCAGCAACATCATGGGAAAAAAATCTATGAAATGAGGTTAAAATATATCCTCTCAATTGAAATCAGCACATGAGTTCTCAAATTATTTGAGTTGAATCTGAATGTGATCAACCCCAGAAACAAGTCCACTCTGGTTGTGGACAAGCTGTTTAGTTCATTTGTTTATACTAAAAGAAAAAAAAACATGAAAAAACAAAACAAAACAAACAAACAAAAACAAATAACAAACAAAAAGCTAGGACAGAAAATAACAAAAGGTTTGAATGGTAAAATCATTTGCTGTGTCTTTAACAATAATAAGAAGAAGCTGTATGATTTAAAGGCAGATAATCACATTCCATTCAGAACTCGCCTCTTGTTACTTTCAGGAAGCAGCTCTATCAATCACCCAGGCTATGTCCCTACCAGACAGCTCCTTCAGGTCAGTCTGCATTTTAGAATGCAGCGACATGACAGGCCCTTGGTACTTTTTATTACAATGCTTTTGCAACTTTTAAGCAAGAAGAATGTTGTATTTAAAAATGTGTTCTGGTGTATGCACACTATCTTTGATTCAGCAATTAATAATAAGGATTTAAAAGATAATCAATCTACTTATCCAACTAACATCAGTTAAATATTAACTGGCTTTAAAAAAATATTACTCGCCAAAACCGGTTTGGCTCAGTGGATAGAGCGTCGGCCTGCGGACTGAAAGGTCCCAGGTTCGATTCCGGTCAAGGGCATGTACCTGGGTTGCGGGCACATCTCCAGTGGGAGATGTGCAGGAGGCGGCTGATCGATGTTTCTCTGTCATCGATGTTTCTGGCTCTCTATCTCTCTCCCTTCCTCTCTGTAAAAAATCAATAAAATATATTAAAAAAAATATTACTCATTATCCTGATTGGACAGGAGTATGAATTTATAGGGAGTTCGCTGAGGTCAGGGCTATAGAGTTTACTGGCCTACAATCTCCTCCACAAAGGCAGTTTGGGTTTTATAATAACAAGATCATCGGCCCTGTCCATTTGGATGTGGAATCATTGCATCACTAGAGTTTTCTGGGTTCATTCACAAAACTATTTTAATCAGCTTTTCTTTGTAGCCAAGAAAGAGCTGCATTTTGTGTCACACAAGTATGCATCTCTTCAAGCTCACGTTTCCTCACTGCTTCCTAAGAGACAGTGTACAACTCAGGGCTATTAAAGTTCACAGTGACTATCAAGCAGAGTCTGCTAATATCGCTTGTATTTCTTTCTTTTATGTTTATTTTTTTAAAAAACCCACTTTCTTTTTAATGTATTGATTTGAGAGAGACAGAAAGAGAGAGAGAGAGAGAGAGAGAGAGAGACATAAAGTTGTTCCACTTATTTTTTAATTTATTGGTTTATTGTATGTGCCCTGACCAGGGATCAAACCTGCCACCTTGACATTTCGGGATGACACTCTAACCAACTGAGCTACCGTGCCAGGTCCCTTGTATTTCTTCCACCTCAGGAGGCTACTTAGATTTTTATTATTTTTCAAATCATTTAAAACATGCATATATGATGTAGAGGGATTCTTACACTCAAATCCTACAACTGGTAAAATGTTATTATGTTTTTAAGGAAGACTCAATATTGCTACCTAATATTATGAAAAGTTCCCCACTTATTCAAAGACTCATATCTTCATTTTAATATCCTAAAATTTCCTGTGAAGATATACTGATATTTAAGAAATAAGCACATTTCTTATTAAAAGCTAAACTTATTAGGACTGGTGTTATCATTACTTACAATTTTTAAAAACTGTCGCTTAATGTTATTTTGCATTCACAGCTCATGAAAAACAGTCTTGTTTTGAATTACATCTTAGTGGTTCTAACTGTTGATATGATAACATTTATGAATTCATGAAGTTCTTTCAAAAATAAAATGAGTAATAAAATGTAATATTTAGGAACAATACTGGGGGAAATTCTAGATCCTATCCATGGAGCAAGCATCTGATTAATTTTGGGGTACTATGCCTTGCAGGCCATTTTGCTTGTACTCACAAGATCCTTTTGAATGAGAGATAAGGACTTACTTCATCCAGCCGCCGCTCCGTTCCCAGAGCCAGGAGGTTATTGTATTCCCTTTCAAGAATCTGCCTGGCCTGTTGACATCAAATAACAGTCACCAACACTGAAGCCACATTGCATTTAAAAAAACAGAGATTATATTTATCTGAGAAAGTATTCCAAACCCTGTCTCATTTATGGAGTCTTAAGTTTTTATTCCTCCATGTCTACAAGCCATTGTAAATTTAACCTATAAATAAAAGGTAGGGCAACTTGCTTTCATCTATGAACAGTAGAGACATAGCCTCATACAAATGTCCTCACTTTGAGACTCTATTGAAATGGAAACTTTTCTATAAACCTTGAAATACAAAAAAACAAACTAAAAAGTGAGGTTAGACTGAGGAATTTTGCACAAGTCTAGGCAGGAAGTTCTCAAACCTGGTCAATGATTACCACTGGGAAAACTTTTAGATAAGTAAGATTCTTGTGACTTATCTCTTGATACCTGATTTATTAGGCCTGTGATACAGGTTGCAGGTTTTATTTTAAAATTTTAAGGAACTCCGGTGATTCAAATCATTATCCAGATTTGGGAATCCATGGCATCCCCAGTGCTAAGTGTCTGTATAATTCAGATATGTAAATAGAAATGACTGCCTCTAAGAGAGGCAGGGACCGAGGCCATCTGTCAGGGACACTGTTTGGGGGAATCTGGCATTCTGGTCCGAGGTTGGACCACATAACCTCCAAATGAGTTCCAGCTTAGTTGTATGATATTGTTTTGGATAGAAATTCAGCCCCAGTGACATATTTGAAATGAAAGACCCAGTGACATATTTGAGCTAAATCTCCTTAGGAATCATTGATACCCTGCCAACGTCCCCCCACTAAAGTTCAGCTTGTTGTGATGTAAATGAGGGCACTGCCGCTACCGCTCAGAGGGCTTGCCTGGGTGTTCTGGGTTGGAATCTGCAGTAACAAAGCTAAGCTGCTGTAGTCAAAGTTCTCGTCCAGGGCTATCAGTGAGCCGTGCACGCCGCTCTCAAGGATATTATTTGCATATTCTCGAAGGCCAATTGCTTGGATCCAGCGGATAACTCGATCATTACTCCACACCAACACATCTAGGAAAAGAAGTGCATCATTTTAGGCTGCAATATTTTGCATAATAAACAAAACTACTGGCTGAAATGGGCCACAGGCATCTGGCCAAGTCAGCATTTATGCTGTTTCTTTATCCACTCCCTAATGCACCTGGCTGGACCCCTTAGGTTGCATGTATTTACTGTTCTAACAACTAACCATCTGTACTTTTAATCTAGAAAAAAGTTGTCACTTTTAAGAGTTTGTTGTCACTGATATGAGACCCCTTCCATCACATGGAACACAATGTCTGTGTTTCTTGTTTTCACTTAGAAGCTCCAGGGGTCTATCTGAAGTTCAATATTTTTGCCACCAGATGGGGATATTTCTTGATACATAGCTTCAGTAAAGAGAGCAAAATGAGAACCTGGAAAGGGTCTTCATCGTGTTTTTGAACCACTATGTAAACATTTCAGATAGACTAGGAGATACTTTTTTTTTTTCACCTGAAGTAATAAATCAGAGACCAAAAGAGAAAGATAAAACAAGGACTAGCTAATTTGATACTTTCCTGCTATTTTGGCAACTTATTATTTAAAATCACATACCGATGCAAAAATCAATCACTCAGTCAAATCACATGCTGATTTTCCTATTAGCTTAAAAAGCAGTATTTTACTGAGGTATGAAACACATTAAATTTTATTCTCAAAACTAAAACCTTTGGGGAAAAATATCATAAATGCCTTTTTTAGACAAAAACATATAAATGTGTATTTTATTTTTCCCCCATTTCTTCCCATTATGAGTTGGCAGAAAGCTATATAACAATGACTAAAACAGAAAGAATAGAATGTTCCATAGGAAAAAAAATGTAAGGAACTTAAGGAGACATTAGAAAAAGGAATGGAAACATTTTCCTAATCCTATAGAAAGGCAAATGAAACTCATAAATTATTATTACAGTACAAGTAAGTTTTTCTGTTCATTTTTTTCTTTCTAAATGAAATGTACACCTTTTTACAAAAGTATAAAGGAGATTTTGGAAATTAGTTTTTAACTTCTCCAATTTAATTTACCTGCAAAAAGCAAGGTAGTATTTTTTGAAGGGAAGGTGAGAAAGTGTATTTATATACATTTTTTCAAAAGCATTACTAGTTTGTCTTAATGCATTCATTTAATCAAGTGAGGTTTTCTTGTGTATAACATTAAAGCCATAAAGTGATGCCTCATGTCCATAGAGGTTCCCTCATCTCAATGAGGTTCAAATTTTTTGTTAATCCTCACCTGGGGATATTTTTACCATTTATTTTTAGAAAGAATGGAAGGGAGGGGGAAAGACAGGGAGAGAGACACATCAATTGGTTGCCTCCCCCATGTGCCCCCGGGGAGTATGAAGCCTGCAACCTGGGACCCTTCAGTCCAAAGCCCGATGCTATAATTGCTGAGCAACTGGCAAGTGCTAGGTTCAAATTTTTGATCCTATTTTCCAAATCTCCCATATCTTTACTAACTGATTATATCTATGTGTCTTATGAATTTGTAATATTTTTAGTCTCTCCCACTATGATTACAAAAATATCTACCTTTATGTTTAGATCTGATTTTGCTTTTCCTATTTTAAGTCTATATATCACATGCATACAAATTTGCCACATCTTCCCTTTTATTATAAAATACCCATTTTATATTTAGTAATGCTTCCTGCCTTAATTATCTTCTGGTATTACAAAAACCACAGCAACTTTCCTTAGCGCTTGCTTATCGCCTCTACTTCCAACTTTTCTATGACCTTATATTTATGGTTGGAAAGAGCACATAATTGTTTTAATTTTTCAATGGTCTCTTTAATCAGATTAGTTAATTCCCTTTCACTTCATACTATTGTTCAGATATTTGAGTTTAAAGCTACTATATTTCAATTTGTCTTACCTGTCTTTTGTTCCTTTTCTCTCCTTCCTTGCCTTTTTACAAACTATGTCATTTAAAAATTATTTTATTCTACCACTCTATTAGCTTTTAAAGCTTGTAATATGCATCTTTGATTTATAATCTACTGAAAATCAGTACTTTTATCACTCCTAGATAATGCAAAGAACTTTAATTTAATTCCATGTATTCCCTTCTTGTCTTTTGCATTTTGGTTGCTATAATATATATTATTTCTATGTGAAATTCAAATCCCACAGACAATACTATTTATTGCTTTTTTATCATTATTAAAATTTCCCATACATTCCTTCCACTCTCCTTATACTGCCTGTATTTAAAAATGTTCTAGGATTAGTTTCTTTTTGCCTTAATAAGTCATTCTAAAATTTATTTTCTCTTTGGATTTTCTGGCAATGTAATCTCTCAGATTTTATTTGTCTGAACCTGTATTAATTTTACCTTATTATTGATGGGCATACAGTTATAGGTTTTTAGATAAGAGGTTAGTTTTAAGAAAAATTTTAAGGATGCCATTCCATTTTTCTCTGGTGTTATTTTAGTTGTGGAATCAGATACCTCGTGCTGCTCCTTTGAACGTAATGTGGAGTTTTCTCTGGCAAATTCGAAGGTGTTTTTTTAAAATTTTTATTATTTTTTTCTTTTTTGGGGGGTGATGATTTTCAGCAGTTTTACTACAATGTATCTAGATATATTCCCTCCTCATCCCTTTTCCTTTGTTACTTGTTTGACATGCATAGGGTATTGTGAATCTGTGGTTTGTTTTCAGTGCTTTTCCCCTAAAATCTCCACCATTATCTTCAAATATTGCTTCTTCCTCATTCTCTCTTATCTCTCTTTCTGGGATTCCAATTATACCTGTACTAGATTCCTCACTGTGTTCAATTGTCTCTAATGATCTGTTTTATATCATTCATTCTTTTGTTTCTTTACATGTAAGTCTCAGGCCACATGTTTTCAGGTGATTTGTCTTTTAAAAAATATATATTTTTTATTGATTTCAGAGAGGAAGGGAGAAGAAGAGAGAGAGATAGAAACGTCAATGATGAGAGAGAATTACTGACAGGTTGCCTCCTGCACACCCGATAATAGGGATTGAGCCTGCAACCCAGGCATGTTCCCTTGACCAGAATTGAACCTGGGACCCTTCAGTCCACAGGCCAATGCTCCATCCACTGAGCCAAATTAGCCAGGCCTGATGGATCTTTTTTATTTTCATTCAAATTCTCTTTTACTGTTAAACCACCAATCAAATTCTTAATTTCAGTTTTAAACCTTCTGCTTCTTCAATTTTTCATGTGTTTATGTCTTTATTTTTTCATTTAAAATAATTTTAATTACAGTTGACATACAATAGTTTATTAGTTTCAGGTGCACAACACAGTGATTAGACATTATATAACACTAAGTTATCATCTGGATAAGTCTCTCACCCATCTGACACCAAACATAATTATTAGAATATTATTAACTATACTAGAGGCCCAGTGCACAAAAATTTGTGCACTCGGGGAGAAGGGGGGGTCCCTTAGCCCAGCCTGTGCCCTCTCACAGTCTGGGACCCACAGGAGATAACGACCTGCTGGCTTAGGCCTGCTCCCGGGTGGCAGAGGGCAGGCCCAATCCCT